ACTAGATAGTTTTACTATATTGAATTTTAAAGCTTTGAATCTCATTAATATTAATTAAAAATATATTAAAATTTAAGAGAAAATGAACATTAAAGCTATTACGTAAAGGAAAAATAGGACGAACTTTCATAAATCAAATTGGGTCTAACTAAATTACAAATTAAAAAGTTCCAGTTGGACTGCTGGAGACCAGATTTAGATAGTTATAAACTTATAATCTATTCGTAATATATTCTAGAAATAAATAGAAAACTTCATTTGTTGATATATAAGTATCTAAATATAAAACATGATGTTGTTCCAATTTTGAAATAGAAATACTTCCTATTTATTACATTTAAAAGTAGAAATAAAAGTCACTAAATACTTCTTTATAAAAATATATATACCCATCAATCAAATCATTTTCGTGTCTCGCGTGAGGACTAATGAAACAATTATATGAATTAACTTAAAAGCCAGCTAAACTATAGTGCAGAAATATATAACTATTTAAGTCCAAATTGGGGCAGTTCATAAATCAATTTAGATATAGGAATTAAATAAAGTGTATTATTCTTACCGTGCATTGCAAAAAAGACAATGAAGCCCTCAGCACCAATAATGGCTCTTTGCTTTTTTATTTGATTTTTTTGCTTATATTTGGAATTTGAAATCTCTCCCTCTCACCAAAAGAGACGTTACAAGTCAATCAATTAACCTTTTTCCGTATAGAATTATTTCTTATATACAAAGTTTTTACACAAATTAAATATATATATATTTCATTATTTTGCTTATATTATCATGTATATATTTTTTTCCCTTTCTTGTAAATCACTTCAATATACACTCTCATCTCATATTTATAGCTTCAAACTGTTGTGACACTCAAAAGAAGCTGACTGCTATATGACAAAATCCAGCATCCTATTTACTCCATCTAAAAACCTCTCAATTTCAACCCTTTTTTCTTTCTTTTCTTCTTCTTTTTTTGTGGGGGCCGGATAAAATTCAGCTTTTTGGCCGATAATGTTTGCTGCTTTGGCTTATGGGCCAGCTTATTCAGTCCTAATTTCAAGCGGGCCGTGTATGTTTTCCGATTTCCTGCTATTTTAGATATCGTTCAAGAGTGCTTTAAACGATCTCTGTTTGGTAGCTTATCATACGTTTGAGTTCTAGTGATCTTTGCGATTTTTTTTTCTGTTTGGAGGTGTTTTTGCTTTTTATTGAAATGGTTTATACAGATCATTTTACGGGTTCAGTTATTTCCTGTACGTACGTTGTGTCTCTCTCGTTTTGGTGTGAAATGATAAATGATGATGATGATGGTGGTGGTTATGAGAGAGAGATTATGGAAATTATTGAAATGCTGAAAGTAATGAGTCTGTTGCTGGTTCTTGAATTAAAATGCGATCAAACTGACAAATGGCTGCGTTAGTGTCTTCAAGAACTTCAATTGAATAGAAAAAGCTGTGTTTGGTTTACATTCTTAGACATGTGGCGTTTCGACTAGTTTGATATTGGAAATCATTCACTTTTGTCTGCATCCTTCTCACGTGTTCTATGTTTGCCTGCCTTGCTGACTTTGCGCTAGTACTTGCATTTTTCGCTAAAAAATTTATGCCGAGCACAAATTATTTTGCAGAATTATTATGTTGGAAGAAAATGGTGTTCATGTGTAGAGTCGATTAAATAGATGCTTTTGTCTTAAGGCCTTTGTAAATTAATTATTCCCTTTTCCTATCGTCTTATCCCAACCAATTTTGGTTTCATTTAATCCTCAATACAAAATTCGGATACAGAAACATCGATATAGCCAGTTCAAAATGTAACCACAACCTGCAAGTAGTATATATATTTGTTTGTTTCTTCGTGTTAAATCAGTTACTAATCATCCTTTAATGAAAAATTAAAGATAGCATTGCAACTTAATAGCATGTATCACTTTCTAATTCTATGTCTTCTTTTCTCTCTTATATCTCCCTCATAACTGCAGATGGTCATTAACAGCATGTGGCAAAAATTTATTTGCTTGTGTTCTCACATTTTGGTCCGTAATAGTTGTGTTTTCTCTTTGGATATCGCTAGTCTGCAAATATGAGGACAGAGAGGCAAGGTTCTAAAGCCAGGAATTATGTTGGAGGCTTACTGAACTTGTTCGACTGGAATGCAAAGTCACGAAAGAAGTTATCGAGCAAGGCCGAATTGCCTGGTATGACAAACGATTCGTTGAAACAGCTTGTAATAACTTTGTTAGGAAAAAAATGCAGAGCTTTTAGTGTGTTATGCGTTTACTGAGTTACTGGAAAAACTTGAACTCATAGTGGAAGGATTTATAATGTTGCGAGTTGAAGCTAAATTTGAATAAATATAATGTTGGCTTTGTGAAAGCGACTTGTTTGCGCTTAAGAGCCAAGTATCACCCGCTTTACTTTGAAGATTCCGACTAAAATTTCAAACCAAGAACCAGAAGTTGTCCTTTCAAATTATTAAGAAACCAAAGCTGCCTTTTTTCAGCCAACAAACTAATCTCACTTTCTTTAACTTTAGCAAACACTCCTTATATAGTGGAATTCATTTTCTTCACAATTGTACAACACTCGGAAACTATTTTAATTTTTCTGAACTTTTAGTTAACAGCTACTGTTCTACTCGGGAGTCACTTCTCTGATTTAAACAAGATTGTTTTCACCTAATTTTGGTAGAGAAATTCAAGCAGAAAAAAAGATTTAACGGGAATATGCCTACGACACTGCTTCATATGGTAAGCCCATACAAACTAAATGATCAATCCCCTCATTTTTCCCCCTTTTATTCATAAACTATACATTTTTTCTTTTCTTCCTATCTCTAGCTTGACGAAGACGAATTTGCAGCTGGGTCGAGCGTGAAAGGTAGCAGTGACTACAGTTGTGCCTCATCATTAACCGAAGGCGATTTTTACAAAAGCAAGGCTCCTAACGTTGTTGCTCGGCTCATGGGATTAGATTCTTTACCAAAATCAAGCTTTCTCGACCCCAACTCAACTCCACTTACCGAATGCCGGTCTTTTGCGAGTAGTTCCCATTACAAATCTAAAAGTCTCGATTTTTCCCAAGATTTGGAGTTCAAATGTGAAAATTTTGCAAAACGGTCGACTGAGAAATTCTGCGCCAAAATTATGCCGCCAAGATCGGCTAAGTCGCTTATTTCTCCTGTTAGAAATTCGAGTCTTCGGAAGCCAAATGATGCCACTCACTTAATGGAAGCAGCTGCTAAGATTATCAAGCCGGGGCCTAAGGCCAGGGAAAAGACGAAAATGCCCCAAAGAGTAAGGGAATCGAAAGAGAAGGTCCAAGCTGTGAAAAAAACATCGAAAAGTGAATTTAGACACTCAGTCACTAGAAGCTGGGATGGTTCAGTGGATTATTCGGGGGCAATTGATGCGAAAAATAACGGAAAGTCGGTTTCGCTTGCGTTACAAGCTAAGACCAATGTTCAAAAAAGAGCATTGGTCGGCCAGAAAGAAACGAGTGAGTCAAGTACGACGAACAGGGTGTTGACCAGTCAATCCCATGCACAAAAGAGTACTACACTTAAGAAACCATCTGCACAGAAAGGCACGAACGTGCTTCGTCAAAATAATCAGAAGCAAAATTGCCCTGCCGATAGCAAAAAGGTGCCACCTTTGAAATCCGGATCTCAAAAAGGTAGTCTTGTGGGCCCCACTAAAGTTTCGTCTAAGTTGGCATCAGAAGTTGGAGATGACAAGAAACGTGTGAGGTCTCGTAGCTCAGCTGGAGTTGCTAAAATCAAACGATCTTTTGATGGTAATATCAGCTCAGAAAAGAATGAGCCGAAGGGTAAATATGGAAATCTCGTAGACTCTGGTGGTGCTGTGGATGTCGTTTCTTTTACGTTCAGTGCTCCAGTTGCTGCAAGGGAAGGAGGTGGCTCAGTGGGGTCCACAAATTCTCCGAGTAAACGAATATTGCTTGACCCAAGTGGCGTGGATGGTCAAAAGTTTTTGTCACTTGGACAAAGTGTTGATACAGTAAGGCACACTTTCTTGGAGGGGAGACTGAAGGTATTGACTCAGAAAGAGTTTACACAACAGAAAACCAAAGATGGAGTTTGGATAGATAATCCTGAAGGCCAACCGAGGTCAAGTCTTATGCAAGATGGCCATTCTTGTTCTAATGGATTTATCACTGGTCAAAAGTGGCAGGTATATATATATTTTTTAAATTTACCGTTTTCAAATTTTTTTTATTTTTTTTCTTCATGTTTCTCAAGCATGTGTTTGTTTTCCTGGGTACTGAGCACAATTTGTGGGGTTCTCGGATTAATGTTATATACCGTTCTTCATAAACATTTCTTTTTTTTTCGTAGTGAAAAATGTTGACCAATTGTGAAAAGCATAATCGAAAACCACTAATGTGAATCTTCTCGATTTCATTGGGTTTTGTTAAGAATATTTCACTGTTTTTTGTGAATGCTAATCAAAATCATTTGGTGTTATCAGGTTAAAGATGTAGACATACATGATCAAAGGACCATTTTTGGAGAGAGAACTTTACTTGATAATCGGCTTCCAAGTCCCGTTTCTGTTTTTGACCATATTTCCATAACAGAAAGTTCCAATTCCTCAGAAACCACAGACAGTAGTACCACAAGAGGTAAAAGATCCAAATTGCATCAATAACATTTAAAAAAAAAAAAAAGAAAAAAAAGGAAAAATGTGATTGTCAGCTTATGATCATAAAAATGCCAACTTCTGCTTCTGAGTTCTAACTATTTATGATTTAACTTATTTGGATTTCACTTTGGATACGAATAAAAGCACTTCATACAATTTTTTCATCAATCACCACTTAAGTTTCCCGCTTCTATTTGAAAACACCACCTCCTTTCGATTCTCATCTACTTCCCATTTTTTGAATACGAAAAAATCACTACCTTTTTCAATGCACAAGATTTCATTTCATCAACAGCCCTTAACTCCTACAAATTTACAGGTGGCAACCTGTATTCGTCCATTCAATTTCAAGAAGCTGATTTATCAGACTCAGCTTCTTCTACTTCGAAAGCATCCAAAACGAGAAGCATCGCATTAAATTCCCCTTACCATAATAAATCAAGAAATTTGGAACTATTGTACATAAAGAAGCTACTAAGCAATATCGAACCTATGTTTAAGGACTACGCACTCGGCAAAACTAGTGAGATCATAAACCCTCATGTTTTCAAACAACCCGAAAATCGAGAAGAAGGGCATTCGCATGGTGTTGAAAGTATTCCAAGATTAGATCGAAGGCTTATGTTTGACTGCGTGAACGAGTGCTTGGACTTGAGGTGCGGACGATTTGCAAAGGGAGGATATAAATTATGGGCTAAGGGTACGCTTGTGGTTAAAAGAAATGAGGTGTTAGCTGAAAATGTGTACAGAGATATTTCTTGTTGGGGTTCAATGGGACATTTTATGGTCGATGAAATTGTTGGTAAGGATATGAGCAGCAAAAATGGGTCGTGGCTCGACCATGAAGTTGATGTTTTTGCGCTCGGGATTCAGATAGAGTCTTGGGTATTGAGTAGTTTGATAGATGAAGTTGTTGATGATATTTTGGTGCTTTGAGCACAGGGGAGTATATATGTGTGTGAGTCAAAAGTTTTGAGCACAGGGAAGTATATATGCGTGTGAGTTTGATCAATCTTCATGTTTCAATTGGCTGAACAATCTGTGAAATTTAAATATTGGGAAACAGTGTAACTGTTGACATACTGAAATTATACGTACTAGTATTAAAAGTATATGAAAAAGGGATATAAGTTGGGGAAACATTTTTTATTCAAGTATTGTTTTATCCTTTCGACTATTTATTGTGAGCCTAAAACTTTGGTGAACATGTAAAATATTATTACATTTGATAATTTATGTTTATGCAAATAGTGCGTAGCCCGTGCGATGCACGGGTAAATAATATGACTTTCATAGCATGTAATATTGTATTATCACACGTGCAAAATAAAATCTACATCTTAAGTTTATATTTTATATTTTTAATGGAATAAAATCTTTCATTTTAGATCATATGTATTTTATCTGTCCAAATTTATCTACATATCGGCAATTTAAATTTTGAATTTGAAGATAACCCGAATCTATGATTGCAAAATATCGTTTAATAACTAAATCAACCGCAACTTTAGGATTTGGTATTTTGAAACCTAGAAAAAAATAAAATCATTAATTTAGGGGAGTTATGTGATAAATCTATCTAAATCTTGTATACATCACGTTTTACAATTAAAGCAATTTAAATATAGAGATTAAGATATTTTGAATCTCTGATTTAAACAAAGACCATAAAAAATTTGATTTGGTATTTTGAGATTTAAAAAAAAAATCATTAATTTAGAGGATGATATGTGATAAATCTATCTAAATCTTGTATACATCACGTTTTACAATTAAAGCAATTTAAATATGGAGATTATTCTTATTTCAAATCTCTGATTTAAACAAAGACCATAAAAATTTTGATCGTTTCAAAATTAGACCCGTGTATTATTTTTCTTTATAAATAATTGTCAAACAAAACAATTGAATACCCATAACTTTATTCTTTTAATTGAAACTGCCCGATTTGATGGTTAGAAAAAATGTTTTCAAAAGAAATAAACAAATGATTTTTTTATTTTTTATTTTTTATAATTTTACCTTTAAATTAGCCGTAATTTTGTTTAAATAAAATTTGCTAATCAAAACATATGTATTAGCCGATTTTATAGAAAAAAAAAGTTTCCGATATTTTGAAAATACAAAAGCATATTTTTATGGTTAGAAAAAATAACACATAATTTTTTTATTATTAAATCAATCGTAATTTTTTTATTTAAAAAAATTACCAAGCAAAGCAATTGTATTAGCCGAATATCTGTAAATTTGGAGAATATAATTGGCCGATGTTTAATTGAATTAGCAGTCGTGACGTACATTTTTATTCAAATTTAAAAATAGCTTATTGTAACCAATAACCAAATTTAATTGATGCAGCCCGTGCATTATCAGTTTTTGATATGCACGTCGTGTCAAACCATCGCAAATATTCAATAGATCAAATTTAAATAGCAACCCACTTTTTGAAAATAAAAAAATAACAAATTGCTCATTTTAAAGACAACATTCAATGTTGTCCATTTTTTAGTAAAAAATATATTAAAAATATACTATAAATGACATGTAATTAATGTTGATCAATTTTGACCAAAGATTGACTTACTATTTTTGATAAATGTTAATTCTTATTATATATATATAGATTACAATAAGTTGTAACAAGTAAAGAAAACGAGAAAAATAAAAATGAACCTTGATCTATACAAATAATTAAATATGATTTTAGAATCTCAATAATCAATCACTATGCTAAATAGAGCCATCAATTCGATTTTGTAAAAAATTAGGAAAAACTACACTTAACTCATCTAATTATTAGTTTTGCACTTTCTTCACTCAACTTTTTTTCGCGACACTTTGTCATATAACTTTGCAAAAAATTGTACTTAACCAATTTCCGGTCATCGTCGGGCATTTCTAAGGACAATATTGACTTTTCAATTATTCATTCAATTAATTGTAATTGAAAAAAAATACACTTTTGCCAGCTATCTATACATTTTTTTGCACTTTACATGCTCAACTTTTTATTTATTTATTTACACTTTGCTCGTGTAACTTCAAAATAATTTACGCTTAACCAATTCTCGGTCATTGTGGCGCAATTGTAAGGGTAAAATTGACTTTTAATGATTTATTTATGGACACATACCTCACAAATACTTCATAGTCCAGAGGACCGTGCCACCCATCCACAAGATCCTCTCCATAACCTTTTTCCTCCTGTTATTCTTGTCTTGTCGATCATTTTCTTCGCCTAATTAACATCAAAACCTAGCAATCAAATTTCCCCTATGAAATACACAATGGATCGATTGATCTGCCGCATGAGAAGGAGACATTCGTTAGCTACCGCCAATGGTGGTAGTAGTGGCTGCGACGATGGAGAGGGAGCATGATTGATGAAGAGACCGACGACGAAGAATCCATAGTTGATCGAGCTATCAAACTCCAAATTCGAGCAAAAAGGGTTTGAACTTGAAATTTTGAAAGGAAGAAAAATAGAAAATACACTATGCGAAAAACAGCCCTAACTGTAGGGGGCCATGGTCCCCCCAAACTTTTTTTTTTTTTTTT